AATTTAGATGAGCCTTTTTTTATTGGACCATAGCGATTATGCCACCGTGCACCTCAGCAGCTGTTTAGAATAAGACAATCCTTTTTTTTTAATGAAGTCCTTCTCAACCCCCATCTCAGACTTAAGGTAAAGAACTCTGCATAATGTCTGTCTATACTGTAACATTTTCTTACTTCCACATGCAAAATGAGTCTGTTTTTAAAACAGCCAACATCAGCTGAAGGATCGCACGGTTTCACAACCTACTCATAAACACTCAGTGATCTCCGAAGACATAACAACGTGAATGAACACCCGGCTTTGGCAGAGGAACGGTGGTTTTTATGGTAAAAAGCAAGGCGTTCATTTCCATCATGCTGATGTGGATGGAGGATGTGCCTCAGGAACATGTTTCAGTTCCTTGGCATGTCAGACGAGTGAGGGTCCGGGAGAGAGGAAAGCAGCCCTTGGACGTTGGAGCTGGCCTGGTGCCCCCCCCGTCCCAGCACAAAGCCCCCTGTGACCACAATGGGCCAAGACAAACAAGACCCCCGTGACGTCATCTGAACACAGACATGTGGACAGCGTCCAACCCCAGTGACCAGACTCCCATGTGTGGGGAGAGATCTCCCCGCAGACCCGGGGCTCTGCCCTCTTTGTGTCCAGCTTCCAGCCCAGCGACTCCAAATCTTTGTTGCATAAATCAGTGAGTCAACACAGACATGGCAGGCCCTGCTCTGTTAGGCACAGGCCGACGATCGATCTGAGGACGGATTTTAAAATGTCCTTTGCAGGACATGCAGGTTGGTTCCTTTAACACATACTTAACCCTCAAAGGGAGCCTTCCTGTCCTTAGGATCTGGAAAGACAAATCTATGTGAGGGGGGGAGAGGCTACAGCCAGACACACCCCATGATTCTTGGAGGCAATTGTGAGCAGCATTCGTGGGAGAGGTTCCAGCATCCGGTCCCCAGCATCGGAGGCCCAGGGTAGCCGTGGTGACTGGAGAGGGACTTCTGCTAAAACCCTGTCCAGCTGCCTCTCCTGGGATCACAGCTCTGTGGCTTCCAAGCTGTGACAATGGCCTTCTGGAAACGCCAGCTCACACGTCCTCTGGATAGAGCCCGCTGGGGCTGAATCTCATGTGGACAACTATGAGCCCGGACCAGACCTGACAGTCCTGGCCCCCTGAGTCTCTGAGCTCCTGCTCTTCATGGAACCACAGAATTCCTGGCGTCTCAGCCCCATGCAGGATAAACTACCACAGAGCCCAGCCAGAGCCGACTGCTGGGATCAGCTAAGCCCTCCCAGGTGACCACGCTGGCGCCGTGGATCCAGAATCTCTGCACGTTCCCAGTTTTCATAAGTTAGACTTTATCTGGGCGATGCCCTCCCTTCACAGGCCCAGCGCCCTCGAACCCATCCCCACATGCATTCTTCACTTGCTGACATTAGTGAGTAGGTCTTAGGATTCTTTCTGTGGGGGTGTCTTTGCTTGGGTTGGATGTTACAATTAGCTTCCTGGTCATGAAGTGTCTGTTATAATGGAAGGGAGGGGGTTGTGTGAGCACGTGGGCCTCCTGCGCAGGGTCCCACCTGGTGAGGCCGGTCCAGGTCCCCGGCAGGAGCAGCGCAGCAGGGTAGAAGCGGCTGGTGGTTGGTGAGGGGCCCTGGACTCACCGTGATCCCCCCAAACACCCCTCCTCTAATTGTTCATCCCCTCTCCCTCCCTCTCTGCTTCTCACTGCAGAGATCTGCAGAGGCCACAAATATAACAGCCAACGTGTGTTATGATTGAACAGCCCTGGAGCCAGACTCGGCATGGACTTCTGGCTACGAGAGACGAGGGGTTCATTTAAGGCAGCCAGATTCTCCCAGTTCCTTGATCGTATCTTAGGCTGAAGAATTTCAGCTTGGAACTCGCTTTATTTTTAAGTTTCCATCATAATTAGAAGCCACCCACCTGATCACCAGATTTGTTTCCTGCGAACGCTTCTGGTAAGAATTCTATTGAGTCGGATCCTCAGTTGCAGAGGTTCCAGCACTGATCGATCACTTATCGGCTGTTCACAGTATTGATTGCTCAGAGAATTTATGGGGAGTAAGGGAACGGAGCAGAGATGATTCACAGGCAGGAGTGAGGCAGCCAGGCGAGGCGTCGGCTGGGGGCGAGTCTACTGGAAGCCCCGGGAACAGAGCCCTCCAAGCACAGGGATTCCTGACTTGTCCCAGGCCCATCGGGAGGTCTGACCTCTGACTCCCCTGCTCACGACACCACTGCGCCTTGGCACCGCTCACCTTGCTTTCCGGGCCTGGGCTGTGCTTGGCTGACCTGGGGTGCACACGCCCTCATATATGGGCAGCCCAGACCTGCAGGGTTTGGAGCAGGAAGGTGTGCTATAGTCATTGCTGGAAAAGCCGTTCTGCACTTGAGGCCACACTTGCCAGCCCTCTCTTCCTTGGTTGACGGCTGTCCGTCTGAGCTTCTGCAAAAACAAACAAGCAAACCAATCCGGGTCTGTCGCCAGGCCTGCTGCGCACTGGGCATTTCTGGGGTCGGTCATGCTGCGGGGGCCTTATCACGGGCTTCGGTAAAAGTTCCACAGGCGTGACTCTGTCCGCATGACTCAACTCCACACCCTCCTTCCCTCCGTGCCTTTGACCTAGAAGATAAAAGATTTATTAGGCGCCGGAGAAATGGAATATATAAATGGGCACGAGAATGCCTCTGCAGTCACTCTGCTTAAGTGGGTGACACCAGATTCCTGACGACGAGTTCCCTTTCTCTTTGAGCACATACAGATGCATGTCTACCCCATGCACATGCAGATGAGCCCTGTTTGTGGCACACGCTCTAAACTAAGATGCAATGGAGTTGTAGTCATTAGATTCTGCCTTATCTACCACAGCACCAGACGGTTAATGTAATTAATGATGATTTTTAAAGTTTCACTGACTTACAGGGACCTATGAGGTAACCTTGCCAGGGTCATCTCATAACCGAAAGTCTGGAGAAACAGAACAGAGATAGACAGTTTAGATTAAACAAGAATCCGAGCTGATACTGGAGTCCTTGCATTCGGCGTCACTCATGCTGATGGGTACATTCTGACTTGGGGTGTTAAGCTGGGCCCCCTCCAAGCAGGGAGGGCCTCTCTGGCTGGCTTTCTGCAGACACTGGAACTCTAAGGGCAACTGAAGACGAGATGCACTGAGCCCAGAGAGCCTTCTAACCCACCTCGCACCATGCATCTATTAAGCGCCTACTATGTGCACACAACAGGGCTTGGGCACAGCCATGAATGAGGGTGATGAAGTCTCAGAAACTCGAGGGGTTCTGAGCGTCATCTTGGATGGGCACAGAGGGGGTGGTTTGGTTGGGGAAGACACACACGGGGTGCCATCTCCAGGAGAAGCAGGGATGAGTGACTGAAAGTGGGCAGGACCTACAGGAACAGTTTTGCCAGTGGGCCACCCTGGGAGGCTGTGACCATCCAAGTTAGAAGCAGGTCAAGGCATGGGAGGTGGAGATGCTTCAGAGGGGAGGGCTGGGCTCATCCGATTGGCGGGGAGGTGACTATTTCTCACGTGTTGCAGTTGAGATTCCTGCGGGCATTCGGGGGAAGAGCTTCCCAGACAGTGGGCTGCCCATGACCTGGGCTAGAGCTCAGATTTCAGTTTTCACATATATTTAGGATAATTGGCATTTCTGGGAACTTCCGTTTCCTTTGATTTTTTTCCCACAGAAAAAGGGAAGCTTTCACACGGAGGATGTGTCAGGCGGCGGTTTGATTGACGCCAGCATTTTGAGAGAATATTGCATTTTATGGGAACTGTCAGCAGGGCTCGGAAGGAGACGTTTTATGCTTTGTGGCACATCCATGTCAGTTCTGTCGGCTCCGGGACCACGCTTATTGCGGGCTTATTAGTTCCAAGTGCATGACTCACAGTTTGCATCTTGAATGCCACGTCTGCAAGTTGTTAAGTTTTCTACTTTCATTTCTGCTGGGAATTCTCGGGAGAGGGGCACTAACACTGAGCTGCCAGGAAGCGGCTCTCCTTGCCTGTCACCCGCTCCTTCAAAGGCGACGAACGGGAGGAAACCAGCAACCTTGACTCCATCCAGCTGGCCTCTGGCAGGCTCCGTGCTCCTGGGGAGGTGTCCACCACCATAGAGGGGCCCTGTCTGTCCGTCTCTTACCCGTGACTGCAGGCGAGTAGTCACTGCGACGCTATTCCTCAGCAAACCAGACGTCATGCCCGGCCCTGGGGCAGTTTCATCCCAGATACCCTGCCCACTGGCTGGGCTGGGCTGCCGTAGGACTCGGGTCCCAAGCAAGAGTTCTTTGGTGCTGCCTGGGCGGAACGTGCCATATCACCTGCTCTTCCCCCGGACCCCAGCACCAGGCAGACAGTCTCTCCTTACCTTCTGGTCCTGTTACTCTTGTGTGCAGTGTGGCCAGCAGGTACGGCCTCCCCAGGATCTCTGCAAGCACCCTGGACCCTGCAACATCAACACAGACCCGCCGCTCAGAGCAGTCCCCCCTTCTTGTCCTAAGTGGTTTACTGAGAAGGTGCTCACTGCCAGAGGACCAGGGGCCGGGGGGCGGGGGCCGGGGAGTGGGGAGCGGGCGGGCAAGGCTGAGTGACAGCTGGGGGCCTTGCTTCTGTCCACGGAGGTTTGCAGAACAGACGTTCCCGAAGCGTGTGCATCCTGAGGACTTGGGATGGAATTCTCCTTCCCTTTCCCTCCTTCCCTCTAAACGGTCCTCATTGTGATTCTTTGGTTTTCAGCATTATTCCATGGATTGCCTTCAGACTCCTCACCTTCCCTGTTTGCCAGAGGGAGTGACGAGATCAATATTCTCTCAAGCAGTGAGGACTCTGAAAGCATTTCTGCACTGGTTTTGAAAGCACACAGCTTGGGAGCCACGCCTTCTCTCCTGTGGTCCTAGAAGCGTGTGTTCCCTGTGTGTCCCAGCCCACTGGCCGCACTAACAACACGTTCTTCTCCACGTCAGGGCAAACTCCAAGTATCATCGACGCTGAGCATCGAAGGAGTTTGGCCTCATTGTCCCTGCATGTCCCTGTCTGCGTTGAGGCAATCCTGAGAGTGGAAGCACCCCGTTCAAGATGACCGGCTTCTGAGCATCGTGTTTTGTCTGATAAATTCCCCAGCTACGGAAACAGAAGTGTTCCGTCTGCACTCACTGTAAGTACAACCCAGGTCTCAGGTTGTAAGTACAACAGCAGGTCCTCAAACAACATCATTTCATTCAGCTTCGTCTAGTTACAACGTGGATGAGTGCGTAGGAGCTCGGCCCTGGTTCATGTCCGTTAGCCTGTAGTAAAATGGGCTTTGCTGTGCGTCGTCTCGCCACAGTTCCAAGAACTGATCGACGACGCTAAGTGAGGACTGACTTCATCAGTGCCCGGTCCTGTGACCCTGCGTCTGGCCCTCTGTTCTCAGGCCACTTCATTTTGCTTTGAGGTGCTTCTCGTTTACCAAACTGTCCTCTTCCAGGACAGACGGTGCCCACGTGGACGGCCCCCTCCCTCACCTGCAGAGAGAGGGCTCGGCTTCCAGGGCGCCTTCGAATTGAAGGCTGCTTCAGGGGCAGGCGGGTGCAATTGCTAAGAATGTAGTCAAGCAATTAAGTGAGCGAGAATGTTTCATGGTTTTAACCACTGGAGAGAAACAGCATTGGTTTGTTTAACTGAAGACAATCCATTATGTTCATTCCTAGATACCTATGCTGCGATGTGCATACATTTCTACTTCTTTACAAACATGACTCCTTTGATGTAATTAGCTTATCATGTGGCTGTGCATCATTTTACAACTTTGTTGAGGTTAAGTTAATTCATCACCGACGGCATTTGGTTGCTGATGGCTTCTCCGGGTGTCCGTCCCTGAGGGGAACAAACACGTGCACGGAAACTCGGTTTGGTTTCACGAGGGACAAAGGGTGTCTCAGACAGACCCGCAGGGGCCGGTACAGTTCAGCCCCGGCATCCAGTGGACGTGGACATCAGGGTCGTGCAAAACAGCTAACAAGGCCAATGTGGGGCAGCTCTGGGGCATGTCTGCATGGAGAGGAGGCTGGACATGGGGTGCTGCCCCCAGTGAGGCAAATAGCACCCACCCCGGCTCCTGGGCACCTATGCGGGAGCATCTTATGTCATTGGCGTTTCCTAGCAGCCTGGTGGCCGGCCAGGTGCTGCATCAGCTCTGTGTAGATGACGGAACCAGCCCTCTCTTCGAGAGGCTATGGTCTGAGCCACAATGGTCAAATAACTAATGATCAGGAGAACCAGGGACCGGGACTTCCTGTGTGCCCCCTGCCCTCTCACTCCTGCCTGTGGCCCGCACTGCCCCGTAGGATTCCTGCTGGACACTCCCAGGATCCCTCAGCTGGTCCTCAGCCAGGAAGTGGAGCTTGGTCTCAAGGAGGAAGGGCAAAGGGCTGCCTACCTACCTGGGTGAGACAGGGCCTGGCTTATGTTGCAGGTGTGTTTCTGAGCCGGGTTATAGGTTGTGAAAGAACCAGCTGGGAAGCCAGGATTAGGGGGAAATGCCACTGGTGTCGGATTTAGAAGAACAGAGTCTGACAGAATCCGACTAGTTTCATCACAGTCAATGAACACATCAGTGTGTGGGTGCGCCCACCTGGTATCTTCCCCAACACTAATGAGCTTTTTATTAGATGATTTAAAAGACAACAGTGTTGGTCATTAACTTCCCCATGAATCATTTGAATCATGTTTGTGGTTACTGAGCTGAAATTCAACCTTAAAGCGTGTTGTGATGTATTTTTGCAATAAAAAGATCAACTTCATTTAAACAATCACTTTTTAAAGCCCTGCCTGCACCGGTAGGTTTCCATGGATCAGATCATCAAAGGCGATGTTGTCCTGACCTTCCACACAAGTTCCCCGCTCGAGGCAGATAAACCATCGGTGCTTCGGCTCCCTGACCAGCCTCGAACGCCGGCCCAGGATGGTCTAGGCAATGACTGACTTAGACCGAGGCCCCCCAGAGCAAAGCCATGGTCAGAGCATCAAACACAAAGGCCGCATTTCAGGGGACATCAGTCAGTATTATTCCCCAAGGGTGGACGTTGGTGAGTGTTTCCGGCGTCTTGGTTTCCAACGTCTTGGTGATATAACAGTGCAGGTTTCCTTGGGAAATCCGCTCAGACCCAGCATGTTTCTTCTGTTGCCCATTATGGGAACAGGTGTGGGAAGTGAGCAGTTTCATCGCCGTGGCTGGGATTTGGGGATGGATCGTCTCTACCTGATTCTCAGCATGGCCACCAGGTGATGGCGGTGCTTCCTCTCTGGTGCTCATGGTGGTGAGACGTGGCCTGGAAGATATCCCTCTGACGGGGAGCCCATCGGCCAGGCCAGTACGCTGGGCCCTCCAAGGCGTGGAGCAAGTCACCCACAGTTCTTAGCTCCACTGCCCTATGCTGCGGGCCTGTGCAGGTGTAAGAAATATGGCGAGCCCCCAAACTCAGGGGTCCTAGAAAAACCAAATCATACTCGGGAACCAGGCAGCAAGGCAAGAATCCTTACTTCTACGGAGAAGGGTTTGCAGCACACGGCCTGGGAGCACGCGCACTCTGAGCAGGTGGTCTGCTTGGCTTTTTAAGCCTGATGCACGGCCTGCCCCTCACTCTTGATTGGAGCTCAAGTGCACAGTCTTCCGCGATTGGCTAATTCAAAGGGAAGGGTTGGCCTTTGCCGTTTCAAGATGCCAGCCCCCAGGGAGCTGCAAGCCATGCGACCAACATGGCGGGTGCCAAGTCACGTGGTCAACATGGCGGCCGTCTAAACTGTTCTCTGACAGGGAAGATAACTTATTTATTCTCACACAGACAAGTCCCGGAAAGAAGTGGCTCGGCTGGAATGGTTAGGGAAATCTTGGGGACAGGCTTGCTCTCCTGCTGGCTCTCAATAAATGCCATCTGGGGGATGGTAGGCCTCTGGGATGGCCCTGTTCAGATTGTAGGGTAAACAGACACAGGCCACGGTGCCAGGGGAGTGTCACAACTTGTCTCACAGGACAGAGGAGCTGTTTCCCAGGACAGAGGAAGAGGAGGGGGAGCAGAATGTGGGGAGTGTCTCTGGGATGACACGGAGGCCTCAAGATGGTGGGCAGCTGAGGGCAGATCAGGGCTGGGATGAGTGGTCTAGATCAGCCATCGCCAACCTTTCAGACCTCATGGACCACCAGAGGTCCTCGGACCACCGGTTGGCAACCGCTGGTCTAGATGGAGGACAGCTGAGGCAGAGCTGGGCTGAGTAGTTAGATGGAGGTACACCAGAGGGCAGAGCTATGGTGGGATGAGTGGTCTAGATGGAGGACAGCACGGGGATGGAGGACTGGACACTGGATGTACGTCCCTGTCCTAACAAAGAAGTCTGTTTTCTGCCATGGATGTGTGGACCCCACATGGAAATGTAGGTTCTGGGATGTAGGTCTGGGCTCTGGCATGGAGGTCAAGGCCCAGGCTGGAAGTCTGAGTCCCGCCATAGAAATATGGGTCCTAACATGAAGGTCTGGGCCCCAAAATGAGGTCTGATCCCTGGATGGAGGTTTTGGCCCCGGGATGGAGGTCTGCCCCGGGTTTAAGTCAGCACCCCAGAGGGAGGTCAGGGACCTGGATGGAGGTCCCAGTATCGCTATGGAAATAGGGGTCCTGAAAAGAAGTTCTGGGCCCCGAATTACTAGTAAGGTCTGATCCTGGGATGATGTCTGGGCCCCGGGATGGGGGTCTTGGCCCCTTGATGCGGGTCTTGGCCTCGGATGGAGGTCTGGGTCCCAGGATAGAGGTCTGGGCCGCAGGATTGACATCAGGTACCCGGATGTAGGTGCCCTGGATGGGGGTCTGAGTCCCGCCACAGAAATAGGGGTCCTGCCATGGAAGTCTGGGCCCCAAATTGAGGTCTGATCCTGGGTAGGAGGTCTGGGTCCGGGGAAGGGGTCTTGGCCCTGGGATGGGGGTCTGGGTCCCGGGATGTGGGTCTGGGTCCCGGAATTGAGATTCCGGCCACAGGATTGATGATAGGTACCCAGATGTAGGTGAAGGCCCTGGATGGGGGTCTGAGTCCCCCCATGAAAATAAGGGTCCTTCCATGAAGGTTGGGCCCCGAATTCAGGTCTGATGCCTGGATGGTGGTCTTGGACCTGGGATGAGGGTCGGGGCATCTGGATTGGGGTCTAGGCCCTGGTAAGGAAGTCTGGGTCCTGGGATAGAGCTCCGGGCCCAGGATTGAAGTCACGGCCCCAAGTGTAGGTAAACTCCCCAGATGGGGTCAGAGTCTTACGATGGAAATATGGGTCCTGCCATGAAGGTCTGGGCCCTAAATTGAGGTCTGATCCTGAAATGGAGATCTGGGTCCAGGGATGGGGGTCTGGACCCTGGGATGGGGATCTGGGCCCAGGGATGGAAGTCCAGGCCAAGAATTGATGTTAAGTACCCGGATGTAGGTGAAGGCCCTGGATGGAGGTCCGAGTACCGCCATGGAAATAGGGGTCCTGCCATGAAGGTCTGTGCCCTTAATTGAGGTCTGATCCTGGGTAGGAGGTCCGGGTCCTAGGATGGGGGTCTGGGCCCTGGGATGGGGATCTGGGCTCCGGGATACGGGTCTGGGCCCAGGGATGGAGGTCCGGGCCCAGGATTGACATCAAGTACCCGGATGTAGGTGAAGGCCCTGGATGGAGATCTGAGTCCCGCCATGGAAATACGGGTCCTGCCATGAAGGTCGGGGCCCCGAATTGAGGTCTGATCCTGGGATAAAGGTCTGGGTCCTGGTATGGAGGTCTGGGCCCCTGCACTTGGGTCTGGGCTTGAGTAAGGAGGTCTGAGTCCCTGGATAGAGATCCGGGCCCAAGATTGAAGTCAGGACCCCAGGTGTAGGTGAAGGCACCTGATGGAGGTTCGAGTCCCGCCATGGAAATAGGGTTCCTGACATGAAGGTCTGGGCCCCGAATTCAGGTTTGAACCCTGGATGGAGGTCTGGGCCCCGGGATGGGGGTCTGTGCCCCGGGATTGAGGGCCAGGCCACAGGATATACGTCAGGTACCCGGATGTAGGTGAAGGCCCCAGATGGGGATCCAAGTCCAGCCATGGAAATAGGTGTCCTGCCATGAAGCTGGGCCCCACATTGAGGTCTGATCCTTGGTAGGAGGTCTGGGTCCTAGGATGGGGGTCTGGGCGTCTGGTTTGGGATCTGGGCCTCGGTAAAAAGGATGGTGCTACTGTTTGGAGCAATTTGAGTTTGAGAGGCAGGTGCCTTTAAGACAAGTGCTGAGAGGCATTTAGATGGATGACTGGGGTGAGCTCAGCTCACAGCAGGGAGGAGAGAGGAGGCTGCAACACAGACCACCAGGGTGGTCAGTCCCCGTTCAGCCAGGAGCTTGGAGTTGGAGGGCAGACGTTCTAACTAGGAGGGGGGACAGTGCCGGGGAGGGGGACTGTAGGCTCTGAGGGGTGGGTTTTCCACCACAGGGGGGTCAGCGAAGTCCCTTATCCCGTCAGGATGGGCCTGGAGGAGGCACAGG